GGGTTTCAAAACTTTCTTCTACAAAAAGATGAGCATAATGTAGACATTCCAAGTAATATATGTGAAGTCAGTAAGCGTAAATTCTTGGGGAGGGGGGGGTGGCAATGGTGTTTAGATACAATGGGTTTTGACAAATAGTCTGATAGTTTCTTGACATACAACTCATGTTTATCCATATCTATTTTTTAAACTTGGTATTAAATGGCAAGAAAAAGTGACTAATAGTGAGGTCCTAATGCGTGCGAATAGCCAAAGCATGTTCACAATCCTTAGTGAAAGACGCCTGAGATGGCTAGGTCATGTTAAAAGAATGAGTCCCGGCCGCATTCCGAAAGACCTCCTATATGGTGAACTTGCTTCTGGAAAGAGGAAAACAGGTCGCCCACGTCTGCGATTTAAAGATGTCTGTCAAAGGGACATGAAAGCAGCCAAAATACATACAAGTGACTGGGAGTGTAAGGCAAAAGACCGATCTACGTGGCGCACAGTTGTCAAAGAGGGCGTCATGGTAGCCGAGGAGCGAAGAATGGAAGAGGCTGCAGACAGAAGAGCTAGGAGAAAGGCCAAAACATTTGGAAGCACGGAACTCGTGTGTAAAAACTGTGGTAAAGACTGTCACTCAAGGATAGGACTGCACAGCCACTCGAGAAAATGCAACCCAAACCAACGGTGATGTACCATCGTCTCACGAGACGGAAGGATGCCGGATATTTTTTAAACTTCTCATATTGGTTGATTTACTCATTCTCTCAGGCGTCTCTGCAAAACAAGGGTACTCAGTAAATCAAAGGTCTTAAGTTATTAATTCATTCAATAATTTTTTAACTTTATAAATAAATATTTCACAAACTTAGATTTGCAAATGATGTACAAAGATGTACTTATGTTATATTATTGTCTACGCAGGCCGAATCTCTGTCACGTTATTGTGTATTTATATTATGTTGTACGCCGCACAAGTTTTGAAAAGTCCACCAATAATGTTTTTTTAGTTTGCTAAAACGAGTCATCTAAAATTAAAATTAGTTTCAAGGCGAGATTAGGTTATCAAAAGTTGATCAGGTCTTGGATTTCTCGATGTCTGGCAGTCACCGCGCTTCTATCTCACACGTCATCCATACCCATATTGACGTCAAAATAAAGTGTCTTCTGGACTACTTATCAAACTTAACAAAAGCAGATTATTGGATGGTCATAACTTACTTGTTAAGTCTGTAATTTAGTTGTTTTTTATATGAACTGTCCACACACTACAACTGTCCCTACACCAAAACTGTCCTCACACTACGACAACTGTCCCCACACTAAAACTATTCACACTACAACAACTGTTCGCACATTATAACATTTGTCCTCACACAGCGATAACTGTCCTCACACTACAACTGTACTCAAATTATGAAAACTATCCTTACTTTATTACAACTGTCCTAACACTACGACAACTGTTCTCACATCATAACAACTGTCATAATTTAAAAAAAAAACAACAGAACATATTTACAACACATCGTCATGCTCTTCAAAACTGCTGGCATCCGTCCGTCACAATGTGACGATGGAGTGGGCTTCGGAGGACGAAATCCACATGGCCTGGGATTAAACTTCAAGGATTATTAGCTGGTTCCCAACAGCAAATCGCCTCTCTCCACGCCACTGGATAACCCAAGGGAACATCATTGGATGATACTGCTTGGCACCAGGGACGTCGCAGGAGTTGTCGGAATGTTTCATTGGATCAATGTTATCTGCCTTTCGGGACTCCAGCTCCGGGTTTTGATTTCAGAGTTTCCTTCTCTTAGATGAGTTGCCATCCAGGGTTAACGAGTCCTATCTACCCGGGGAGCTGGTGATGTTTTTGCTTGACTGGGCTCTTGCTGGAATTGAATTCCAGACCACCAACTTGAGATTTGCTCAGTTTAGACCACTCAGCCACCTAGCACCTAAAACTACGCTCACAAAAACATCCTAACCTTTGCAGAACAAATCATAACACAACGTGTTTCCTAGCGTCCACCTATTTTCTGAACTGTTGTGTTAACAAGCTTGTGTACACTTTTAAATAAACCCAAAGAGGTGTGATACTTTTTATTAACATTTTGTGTGCTAAACGCGATTTCATTTCCTATAGTTGCCCGCTTGTCTCGTTCAATTGTCTAATTCAAAAAAAGCCCACTCCGACATATTAATACTTGATACTTGACAGCTAACAGCTGCAACAATTTTAAATTCACAATTTTTTTGGGATATCGATATTCAATGTTAGCACAAGCATATCATGTTTTAAAATAGCTGCTAAATCATTAAGTTATCTTTAAAATGATCACAATTTGACGTTTATGAAAGTATGAGATGTAATTAAATTACCTGAACTATTTAGAATATTGGAAACACCAGTATTTGAATGCACTATTCACTTATAAATGATTAAATATAGATAATGGTCTAAGTATCGTAGATAATAGTTATGTAGTTGTACTGTGTCTTGCAGATGTTTCGCTAAAGTTAACAAATTTCAAACGATTAACAGAAAAGGCTGGTTAAATATACGTTTGCCAGCACATTATAGAATAAATTCACTTGTAAAAGACCAACTATGGGTGTAATTCGAATTTAATTCATCGCATTTTTTCCAAGTCAATGATATAAGAATCGTTATATTTCCAAATAATTAAACTTCAGTATTTAACACCTAACACCTATTCACCAAACAACGTTTTCTTTTAGTTTACACGGGTGTTCATTTTAAAAATACTTAAAATTTTTGTTGGTTAAACGCTCCGAAATATTCTATTATTTTTATTTCTTTGCAAAGAAGAAGTCATGTATAAGAATAATATCTTTCAAATAAATGGGTTTTTCTTTCCCGTAATGCAACTGTTTGTGAAATCACTGTTGGATTAAGAGATGTGCGCTAGATCTTGAGTAAAAAATATTAGAATATGTTGTCAGCAGCTCACTATCATAATTACTTATGCCTTTTATCCCGTCTGCGGCATACGCCATCTACATAAAAAAATTTCCATTCATTTCGGTCCTGTGCTTTCCTTTCCAGTTGCGTCCAGATGTATCCCAAACGTTTTGTGTTTGCCTCTAGCTCGGATATCCATCTAATCCTCTCTTTCTTTTTTTCCTGTCGATTCCTTTTTAGGCCTTTTCAGGTGATATTATTTTGGAGTGTACGAAGAGCCAGTTATCTACCTCATCTTATCATTAGGTCTTCAGAGGTAGGCTCCAGTATGTCCGTTCCAGTAAGTCTTTGTTGGTAACGTTGATTGACCATTTGATATTCAGAATCCATCTAAGTACTAACTGGGCATCATCTTTTTGGAATGTAAAAACTTATTTCTCAAGTTAAAACTAATTTACTGGTATTTATTGCTCGTTTGCAAGACGTGCTTTTGCCACTTCACAATTTCGTTATAAATCTTACTCGAGGCGAAGTGGTTCAAATAGCGACCGACATTTTTAATATTATACATATTAAGTGACATTCACAATAAGAAATAATAACATGAGTCTTTCCCAAACTAAATGGTGATCAGATGCAATTTCAAAAATTCCGTTCAAACATCTTTTATAAAACCTACGAATTTTTTGCTAATGCTTATCTGTTCACTATGGTTTACTGTTCTGTTATCAAGGGACACCTAAGGTACTTTGGAGATATTATTATGCTGGAATTTCTTTGCCCCCAAAAGCGAGCTTGTTAGCCGCATATATGTCATATTCATTTCTCTTTCCTATACCACAACGCTACATAATTTATTTGTATCCTATTTTATCTTATCCATCTTAGTAATTAGATCACCAAGTATGATTTTTAGATCTCTGCCAAATTTTTTTGTTCATTATTGCATTTAGTCTATTGTAGAACGCTTCTTTTCCATCTTCCTTACTATCAACTCTGGGTGCATATAACTGTATTACTTTATAGTTAATTTCTTCTTCTTGGTTCGGAAAGTTGCTATAGGAATTCCTGGACCATAGGCTTCTCATCTTATCAATGTTCTGCACCATACTTTTCAGCAAGAAATTCATTTTGGGCTGAGCATTTCCCTCATCATACCCTCACAAAAAGCTATTGTATTCTGTATGAAAGTCATTGCATTCTCTATCATAGTCAAACTATTTTCTTTCTTAAATATTGAATTCTTTTCCATAGAAATTGTTTTTTCTGTCGTGATCATTGTATTCTTATCAAAGTAATTGTATTCTCTATCAGATACATTGTTGTCTTTTAAAGTTATTATATTCTCTTTTACAATCATTGTTTTTTCCCATCATAGTCAATGTTTTCTCTATAATTGTCATTTTTTTTCAATCATCGTAATAGGAATGTCTATCAAATTCACTGTATTTTCTATCAGAGTAAATTTATGTTTCATCATAGTAATTGTATCCTTTTTCATTGTATAGTCCAATCTTTGAAATGTCTCTTCCAAGAATTCTTTCTTCAAAGCCATTTCTTACGTATTGAGTATCGTTGAGTTTCACTAAAATTAGTCATACCTAAAAAGCAAAAAAAATAAATTCCTAGTTTAAATTTAAGTATATTAATCAACACCTGGATTTAAATGTGTTAATTTGGGTATATTACAGAATTTTTGTCATTATACATTACTATTAACATATTTTAATGTGTATATCTCTTTATTTAAACTTATACTTTATCAAAAAATGTATCTCTCTTTTAGGATAAGGAAATAGACCAAAAAGGATGAGAGTTTACAGTCAACACAATTGTTCATATTAATTTTATTGAAAGGTAAAGTGTGCACACAAAATCAATATATGACGTACGAACACCGTTTAACCTTTGCATAAAAAAGACAACTTAAGAGAGGGAAACGAAGTCAACTTAAATGTAACCTGCTTTTTCCATTTATAAAATCGTTAATGTCATACTAACAGCAGCCATGAGAATGACAGCTGACAGCAACCTCTCAGACATGCTCCAACCAGATGCTGACAGTACCAATGAAATCAATGATACCTTTACCGCCATTGGCGACCATGCCACTGGCACACAGTTGCTCAGTGATTGGGGGAAGGACTTGTTTATCATTATAAACCACGTGATCCTCAGCACAGGAATCAGCCTGTTTGGCCTGTGTGGAAACATCATCAACGGGACGGTCTTCTTGAAACAAGGTTTGCGTAGGTCCATGAACTTAAGCTTCTTCGTTCTGTCCCTGACAGACTTCTGCGGCCTGCTGACCCAGGTGTGGCACAACTTCTGCCTGAACCCGTACATAGATCGTATGGGAGTCCCGCTGGATTTTATGGAGATCCAGTTCCTGACTGCCGGTAATCCAAATGCCTGCCTCGTCAGGGTGACCTGCTGGATCACTGTGTACATCACAGCAGAGAGGTGTTTGTCGATAGCCATCCCTTTGAAAATCAAACAAATCGTCACGTTCGAGAGAACGGTTCTCATCCTGGTGTTCGTTTACCTCATCAATGTAGGCGCTCTTGTACCCTTGTATTTCTCTGCGTACTTCAGTTGGAAGGTTTACCCGGGTCTCAACAGGACATTGCTTGGCGTGTCGTACAGGAGCAACAAACTGATCATCCAAGATTTGCTGTACATATTCCAGGCTACACTGGGGCTTGTAGCATTTGCCGCCGTAATAATATTTACGACCATTCTAATCGTTAATCTCCGTAGGAAGTCGGAATGGCGGAAGAAGTCGACTTATGACAAAGATCAATCCACACCGATGACCAGCCGTGAAAAGAAAACTATTCGAATGGTCATTGTGGTAGCCTGCGTCCTGATCGTCTGCTACACCCCTGCGGCAACCAACTCTATCGTATCTTCCATCGTACAAGACTACACCATCACGGGGCGACAATCCAACATATTTCAGGCGGTGTGGTCGTTCGGTTTCCTCTTCCATTCAGTAAACTCTTCAATCAATATTTTTCTCTACTATAGCATGAGCTCCAAATACAAAGCCACGTTTGACGAGATGTTCCCCATGTTTTCCATTGAAAATGTTAAGAAAGGGCAAGACGCAGACATGGCAAGTGGAACCAGTAGCATGACGACTAAAAGAAGCAGTAGTGATGATATGAGGATTTCAACTCGGAGCTCACTATGTGTTGACCCAGAGGAACCTTCTGAATAGTCATATGGTTTTATCAAGAAATTTATTTAACGTTGCTTTACAGATACCACTTTTTCAAATGCTGCAGCAGTTACCTAAATGTCACGGCTGTACGTCTTAACCATCAAAATTTAACCTCCTTACTCTGTACTTACGTTATATTACAGTGATTAGCGCCTGTACATTCAGGAGTCAGTGAATCGATTGCATTAACTGTAGCGCGGCACCACTTTTGAGAACCGCGAGAAAATCGATCGTTCGGTCTTAGTTTCTGTTGACAGATTGCATACGCCCCACTTTCATACAAACTGATAGAGCGAAGATATTTTTTTTTATACTTGTGGGATTTTTTGTATGCTCCAGACAGTGTCTTGTAACTCACATATTGTCTCAAGGCTTTGGTCGATTTCTTGTATCATAGTCAATGTGATGTACTTAAATGTCTTGTAGTTCAGGCAATGTCTTGTTTTTCAGTCAACATGTAGTGCTCCATTGTCTTATAATAATGATGTCAATAATTATTTTTTAAACGCGTATTACTTTTAACTATGAAATCAATATGTATTTAAATTATCAAAACAAATTTGAAGCCTCACACAAACATTGCTTAAGCTTAATTGGTATAGTGGTGACTTTAAAAAAATGTCATTAATTGATTTTATTTATGTTAACAATGGCGGCATGACGGTTCTGTTGTTGTTTTTTTAAAATGTAGTATTGACGGCTTTAAGGCGTATCGTCTGTGCTTTGTTGTTTGTGGTCATCTGTGCTGTGTTGTTTGTGGTCATCTGTGATGTGTTGTTCGTGGTCATCTGTACTGTGTTGTTTGTGGTCATCTGTGCTATGTTGTTTCTGCTTTTTTGTGCTGTGTTTTTTTTGGTTATCTGTTCTATGTTTTTTGTGGTCATCTGTACTATGTTGTTTTTGGTCATCTGTGCTGTGTTGTTTGTAGTCATCTGTGCTAAGTTGTTTGTAGCCATATGTGCTAAGTTGTTTGTGGTCATCTGTGGTATGTTGTTGGTGGTCATATGTGCTGTGTTGTTTGTGGTAATCTGTGCTATGTTGTTTGTGGTCATCTGTGCTAAGTTGTTTGTAGTCATCTGTGCTATGTTTTTGTGGTCATCTGTACTATGTTTTTTGTGGTCATATGTGCTGTGTTGTTTGTGGTAATCTTTGATATGTTGTTTGTGGTCATCTGTGCTATCTTGTTTGTGGTCATCTGTGCTGATTTTTTTGTGGTCTCCTGTGCTGTGTTGTTTGTGGTCACCTGTGATGGGTTGTTTGTGGTAATCTGTGCTGTGTTGTTTGTGGTCATCTGTGGTGTGTTGTTTAAGGTCACCTTTGCTGTGTTGTTTGTGGTCATCTGTGCTATGTTGTTTGTTGTCATCTGTGCTATGTTGTTTATGGTCATCTGTGCTAAGTTGTTTGTGGTCATCTGTGCTATGTTGTTTGTGGTCATATGTGCTGTGTTGTTTGTGGTCATCTGTGCTGTGTTGTTTGTGGTCATCTGTACTATGTTTTTGTGGTCATATGTGCTGTGTTGTTTGTGGTCATCTGTGCTGTGTTGTTTGTGGTAATCTTTGCTGTGTTGTTTGTGGTCACCTGTCCTGTGTTGTTTGTGGTGATATGTGCTGTGTTGTTTGTGGTGATCTGTGCTATGTTGTTTATAGTCATCTGTGCTATGTTGTTTATAGTCATCTGTGCTAAGTTGTTTGTGGTCATCTGTGCTATGTTGTTTGTGGTCATCTGTGCTGTGTTGTTTGTGGTTATCTGAGCTGTGTTGTTTGTGGTCATATGTGCTGTGTTGTTTGTGGTCATCTGTGCTATGTTGTTTGTGCTCATCTGTGCTATGTTGTTTGTGGTTATATGTGCTATGTTGTTTGTGGTCATCTGTGTTATGTTGTTTGGGTTCATTTGTGCTATGTTGTTGGTGGTCATATGTGCTGTGTGGTTTGTGGTCATCTGTGCCGTGTTGTTTGTGGTCACCTTTGCTGTGTTGTTTGTGGTCACCTGTCCTGTGTTGTTTGTTGTTATATGTGCTGTGTTGTTTGTGGTTATCTGTGCTATGTTGTTTGTAGTCATCTGTGCTATGTTGTTTGTGGTCATCTGTGCTGCGTGGTTTGTGGTCATCTGTGCTGTGTTGTTTGTGATGTTATGTGGCACGACGGTCAGTGTTTCTGTGTCGACACTTGCGAGGTTCATCTGTGCCACTGTGGGTGAGGTCATGTGTGTCAAGATTGATAGGTTCATCTGTGCCACTGTGGGAGAAGTCATGTGTGTCAAGATTGATAGGTTCATCTGTGCCACTGTGGGTGAGGTCATGTGTGTGAAGAGTGATAGGTTCATCTGTGCCACTGTGTGTGAGGTCATTGGTTTCTAGAGTGATAGGTTCATCTGTGCCACTGTTGGTGAGGTCATGTGTGTCAAGAGTGATAAGTTCATCTGTGCCACTGTGGGTGAGGTCATGTGTGTCAAGAGTGATAGGTTCATCTGTGCCACTGTGGGTGAGGTCATGTGTGTCAAGAGTGATAAGTTCATCTGTGCCACTGTTGGTGAGGTCATGTGTGTCAAGAGTGATAGGTTCATCTGTGCCACTGTTGGTGAGGTCATGTGTGTCAAGAGTGATAAGTTCATCTGTGCCACTGTGGGTGAGGTCATGTGTGTCAGGAGTGATAGGTTCATCTGTGCCACTGTGGGTGAGGTCATGTGTGTCAAGATTGATAGGTTCATCTGTGCCACCGGGGGGAGAGGTCATGTGTGTCAAGATTGATACGTTCATATGTGCCACTGTGGGTGAGGTCATGTGTGTCAAGAGTGATATGTTCATCTGTGCCACTGTAAGTGAGGTCATGTGTGTGAAGAGTGATAGGTTCATCTGTGCCACTGTAAGTGAGGTCATGTGTGTGAAGAGTTATAGGTTCATCTGTGCCACTGTGTGTGAGGTCATTGGTTTCTAGAGTGATAGGTTCATCTGTGCCACTGTTGTTGAGGTCAAGTGTCAAGAATGATAAGTTCATCTGTGCCACTGTAGGTGAGGTCATGTGTGTCAGGAGTGATAGGTTCGTCTGTGCCACTGTGGGTGAGGTCATGTGTGTCAAGATTGATAGGTTGATATGTGCCACTGTGGGTGAGGTCATGTGTGTCAAGAGTTATAGGTTCATCTGTGCCACCGGGGGGAGAGGTCATGTGTGTCAAGATTGATACGTTCATATGTGCCACTGTGGGTGAGGTCATGTGTGTCAAGAATGATATGTTCATCTGTGCCACTGTAAGTGAGGTCATGTGTGTGAAGAGTGATAGGTTCATCTGTGCCACTGTGGGTGAGGTCATGTGTGTGAAGAGTTATAGGTTCATCTGTGCCACTGTGTGTGAGGTCATTGGTTTCTAGAGTGATAGGTTCATCTGTGCCACTGTTGTTGAGGTCAAGTGTCAAGAATGATAAGTTCATCTGTGCCACTGTAGGTGAGGTCATGTGTGTCAGGAGTGATAGGTTCGTCTGTGCCACTGTGGGTGAGGTCATGTGTGTCAAGATTGATAGGTTGATATGTGCCACTGTGGGTGAGGTCATGTGTGTCAAGAGTTATAGGCTCATCTGTGCCACTGTGGGTGAGGTCATGTGTCACAATACACGAGTTAATTTGTTTGCTGGTGGATGGCCGAGAAGTATAAACTCATTCAATCCCCACGCTTGTGGGCTGGCGTTCATTCCAACAAAAGCATAAACATGCAAAACCAAAAACACCGTGGGTGAACTGAACTTCGTCTACTTTGATGGCAAATCCTCTAACACAAGGCCAACTCAGAAATCAAACACAACGTAAGTTTGGAAAATACCTGTGACTTCTAATGCACAAAGAGCACATTGAGAAATATATATATAAATATTTTTTTTTAAAAATTATATCATCTAAAGTTTCCTGGACTATTTATGTTGTCATGACTAGTCTTGCTATTGGAACACATAGGGAAGGAAAAAATGTGAGGTTGGCAAATTTAGCTAAACTCCTTCAATTTAAACCCCCAACAAAGTATTCTTTGTATTTTTAAAAAGTATGGAGACATGGAGCTAAAAATTCAGATAACTGAGGTGATCACAAGGTTAAAAAATTGATTTATGTGTGCACATTATTACATGACATGTACATAATACAATGAAAATCAAAAATAAAATCATCATCAGTGGTAATGTACTTTTTTTGTCTAGGCGAGTGTTTTACAAAATACTACCGAACAATGTTAATCTTATCCATTATATCTAACACTTTAAACCAATGTGAGTGTTATCTTTAATACGACCAACCAATGTGAGTGTACTGTCTATGAATACCAACCCATGTTAGCGCTTTGTACTAAACCGCTACAGGAATACCTCTAGTGTTGGCAGCATGCTAGAAACACTAAGCTGGTCACCATTGGAGAAACGACGACGACAATCCAGGCTCTTCAAGATGTACAAGATAAATAATGGGCTATTCCACTGTTCCAATATTAAACAGAAACTCGTCCCTCTCCCCCATAGACAGCGACGAGGCCATGACAGGCAATTCAGGCTCCTACCAGCAAGAAGCCAGTATAGGAGCTGCTCATTCCTGCCCAAGACAATCAGGGATTGGAACAATCTTTCAAAAGGAACGGTTGAGGCGACAACACTAGACACATTTGTGTCTATTGCCTCTAGCCTTCAAACCCCTAGTGCATGATTTCCTCATCAACACCAGTAACAGAAACATTGCAAATCCCATCTACATGCATAGGAGCCAAAATAATCAATAAATTGATCGTGGGCCCTTAAGATATAGAAGAAGAAGAAGAACCTCGTCCATTTTCAAAAAGTCCCTTAAAACTCATCTGTTTAGGTCCGCCTTTGA